CGATGTCCTTTGTGCTCGAGAGCCTTCAGAGGTAGAGGGCTGTGATTTCAGCGTCTGATAGCATCAGCATGAGTGATAATAAGAGCTGATAGAGACTAATAGGATTCTGAAATGTAACTATGAGGGTGCATAGTTGGGCTCTGCTCGTAGTTGGAGAAGTTTGCTGACATCCAGGAGCACAGCCCCTTGCAGAAAGGGGCTGTAAAGTGTTGTAGGGCTCGGTCGTTTTTTCAGTGTTATTTCATCCAGCACATGTTTCAGCTCAGATTGTTGGAAAGGATGAACGAGGGCTTACTTGCAAGCGCTTACTTTCCATATAATCCTTAATGTGTGGAAATCTATACCTACAAGGATTGATTTTAATTTCCTCCAAAGAGTTGCTCCTGGCAGAATCTGATAAAGCCGTTTTCAGTCTAATTCTTCCCAGCCCTGCCCTTGGTGAGCTATCAGAGCATACCTATCTTTGGGAATTAATTTGGTGATCACCACAGCTTGCATTCATTATCTCAAATACCTCCCGAATCGTCGGCTGATGCACGGGGGCCTGGAAAAGCTGTCTGACAGCATTTTCCGAAACTTTTCACTTTTGGGGGAGAACATCCCCAGGTTCTTGCTGGTGATTTGCTTTTCTTCCCTGTGTTGAGCTTGCCCATTCAGCACAGAAAATGAAGGAAAAGCAGAGCTGCTTCACAGCTCTGGATTGCTTTGTGCCACCTCTTTCTTTTCACCAAGATTTGCTCATTTGTGCCCAGGGCTGTGGAGTCCTTTTGGTGCCGGACTGACCTCGTTCCCAGTCCTCAGCCTGACGGCAGCACAAGCATCTTGTGTAGAAGAGCAGGTCACGGTCTCCTGCCAGAGGGTCATAACCTGAGCCCAACCAGCCAGAAATCTTGTACACATTTTTAAGAGCTTTTGGGGTACATGTTCTAGTTTTGGGGTTTTTTTTGGGTTTTTTTGTTTTGTTTTTTTTTTTTTTCCTGCTGCTAGCTCAGTGAACCGGGTAGGAGTCTTCATATGTTAGAGAGGTCTTAATGGAGATGTACCTTCATCTTCCAAAATATCAGAATAGGAAATGCAGCAAGGGTTAGTTTAAAGCAATTTGCACTTACTTGGTAAAATAGAATAATCTTCATCATTCCTGAACTCTGAAAGAGAAAGCAAATTTCTGTGGAAACAAAAACACAGGCTTGCTGCTGCGCTGGAGCAGAGCGATGCATTGCAGGGGAGATTTAGCATCGTGTTCTGACCTTTCTGGAAACAGTTGATATGGAAATATTTTTGTCATATTTATTTAAACTTTTTTTCTTGCATTTATTTAAACTAGGCAGTGTATTTATTTGAAAAACTCAGCAGCATGCCAATCCCCGGTTCTTGGCATGTTAACAAAACTAATCATGCAATAAACGTAATACCCTTAAATCTGTGTTCAAATGCTTTGATCCTAATGCTCTTAGGAAAGTCCTTTTGTTCTTATTTTCCATGTAAAGTACCAGGTGCAACTGCGGTTGTTTTAGAAGATAATAACAAGAGGAGGGTTTACTAGAATTTTTTAGGTAATGGCTATAGCTGGTTTTTAAAATAGTAATTCTCTACTATTTTATGTGCCCAAGATCATCTTGAGTGTGTTGGTGTTTGCGCCATCCTCCATGCCTGGCCATCCTCCTGGGCTCACTCATGGGTGCTGTTTGCTGCTGTATCTCAATCACAGGCTGGAAATGGCATTTCAGAGCAATGTTTTCCAGCACTTGAATGGAGGCTGAAGCAGGTTGACCATGGGCATGCTCAGGTGCAGGTGATCCTTGGCTCTAGGAAGCTGGTTAGAGAAACAAGTCAATACGGTACCTTGGCTACACCTTCAGGGCTGGATCCAGAGGCAATTAGAACCAGCAGAAGTCTTTCTGATGACTTCAAAGAACCTTGGATGAGGCTGCTGTTCCACAGAGAGCCACCCATCCATCCCCAGTACTCTGAGGTATTTTCTGTGGGAGGTGGTAAATGGGAAGAGATCAAGAAAAAGAGAAATATGAAAGAAGTTGTTTTGTCTGTGCTATTCAAATGTTTTAAAGAAGTCAAGGTCCAAGCTTACCTCACTATGGCACTGTTAATGATAGATACTGGAAACAGACAGCAGCATTTGCGGCGATGAAAAGAGTCCTGATGGTGAAATGCAAAGTTTCTCCAGGGTCCGAAACAAATGATGAGACCGATGGCAGTAGCTAGGTGTATTGCTTCCCTAAGTCACATGGTGGTGAGATGAAGCCCTCTATTAAATTATTTTCTGCATATGGCTCACATATGCTTAAAACCTACGTGCCATATAAAAGTTGGAAGTACCTGAGACAAATTAGAAGGCAGTTAGGAAGTAGGCTCTTTGCAAAGGAATTTTCAGTCTCTGATACTCGGTTGCATTAGATTATTCGACCTCTCTTTTCTGTCGGTGCAAATGAGATCATAACTCATGTGTGCATGAAAGCAAATGGGTGGTTTAGATCTAAAAACACACAGCTGCCTAACTTTGATTTATATTAAAGACAGACATAGAAATAATTAATTCCAGCATCTTGGGAATGACATTTAAGTATTAACAAAATTAGGCAAATTATGCCTCAACCTCTGGGTGCACCGAGGTATGCGTGCAGTCTTGTTTGATGGTGGGGTGGTGAGATAAATGTTGGACACAGGCTCCACGCCAAGGTTAAGCAATATGTAGACGTGGGATAACAATTTTGGAAATGACTGGCACCCTATTAATTGTGAGATCAAATCTTTATCAACCAGCTTCAGGTCCCCAGAAATGTTCTTGTGTTGTTGCACAATGTGGTTATTCCTTCTTTAGAATAAGTGGTGGATCCAATATATTTTTTAAATGAGAAAAGATGCACTTGGCTGTATTGACTCGGAATGTGGGGCAAGAGAGGGTCCTGATCGAGTGTGTGAATTTACTCTTTATCTTTGGCTGTCACAGTAAAGTGACATCAACCTGCATGGAGAGCTCTTGCTGAGGAGCCCTTGAATTTTTGCTAAAGTATCGGTGTTGGTGTTTAGCCCAAAGATAGTAAATAGATTAAAGTATTAGAAGTTTACAACTGGGTTTGGTAGGATTTGACATTTCCTTCTTGCTGGTGACGTTCATTGCCTGGGGAAAGATGTAGAAAGAATGAAAAAATGAACTTCTGGTGAAATTTGAAGGCTTATAAAAACAGGATAACTTTAACTCAACCTTTTTTCTGTTGATGCTAAAGAAAAAAAGTGAAGTTTATGAATCTGGGTAACTCGTGAAAGTCTTGTTTTAGAACAAGGGACAGCATTTTCTCTGTTTCTCAGGGCAAGGTTGAATGTTTGGGGTTTTTTGGCCCCTCTTGAAATTGGAGGTGGGCTCAGGAAAACGTAGAGGTAGCCATCCCTGCGCAGGCTCGCCTGCCTTCCCACCTCTCGCTGAGGAGCATCACTAATGGCCCTTAAACCCTATTGATCACAAGGGACTGGGGACGTTCGCTACCTTTTGTCGACATGTAACAGCCTTGCAACAGGAAAACCACCTTTTTCAGAACATTACTTATAAAAGCTTTAAAGCAGCAACATCTGATCTTGTGAGTTACATCCATTTTTCTCCACTTGGTCTCAGCTTTTCCATTTCAGAGCAAGTTACTGCTCTCTCGCTGGTTCTTTGTGTACCTCTTAAGACAATAGGGGCTGAATGAGTTGTAAGTAGTGCTGTGATTTAAAATAACCACAGCTGTCAATGCATATGCTAATTTCGATTCTAACAGATCTTCCAGAGCTGCTATATAAATAAATTGTAATTTTTTTAGATTTCAAATGTATTCATAGGCGGGGGAGACCTGTATTTTATTTGTTAGGAAATATGCTGATGGAGTGGCTCCAAAACAAAGGAAGAAGCCTCATCTCTGAAAAGGAAGCAGAACATTTTATATTGAGAGATGGTTGAACCAGTGTGTTTCTGCTCAAGGATTAAACCAGGATGCTTGCGACATAGCATGTAATGACTTGCATAACATGTAATGAAGAAATTGGAGCTCAGTCTCTGGGTGCATCATGCTGAGTAAGAGGCTTGTTCTACACGAAAGTGTCATATTAAATTCTTGTCGTGATTCCAGACCCCTTTGATTCCTAAATCTTTTGGAGGAGACTAATCTGAAATCAAAGTGAAGTTGCTTGGGGTTTGCATGCCAGAAGTGGTCACATTTGAAAAAGTTCAGTGAACCTGCAGAGGGAGGTTGAAATTAGTTGCTTCGCTACAAAGCTTACAGCTAACATACCTGCTGATTTGCTTTTTGCTTTGATTCTTCAAGCTCTGCCTTCTTGCCACCTTCTGAGTTGTTTTCAAAATGCATAAATCTTGAGGATGAGCATGTCCTGGTTTCAGTCTGTTTAGTTAAAAAAAAAAAAAAAAAAAAAAAAAAGTAAATCAATCTGTAGTGGTACAGAGTAAAACAAAATGAGCTTAAATACTGAGGACGTGGAAAGTCTGCCTGTTTCTCTTCTGCCTTGTCCTTTGTGCAGTTGTTTCACTCTGTGAAGGTGTATATCACGCTTTTCTCTCCTGATTTACCAGCATTTGACCTCCCTTTGTACCAAGGTAAATGGAAATGGTTCCTTTCAAGTTCTTCTAAGTAGATACTGAGGGCTCCTGCCTTGATCCCTGTAAGAGGACTGTGCTCCTTTGAAACCACTGGAGCAATGCCAGGAATCCAGCCTGTTATCCCTGATGAATGTCAGCTGCTTTCTCTGGTTTGATATTGGCATTTTGGGGGGCTTTGACCAAGAATATCATGCAGTATTAAGTGCAAATTGGAACATTTCCAGCGGTTCAATTCTGCCCTTCCATAACCCCCTCAAGCTTTGTGTAGGCTGCCGGAGACCTGGTGATGTGCTTTCTGGTCCAGTTAAAAGAAAATCCCCTGGGTAGCCATGGCCCGTGTATAACCGTGTAGATGGCCCTGCGTGAAAGCTGATGTGTTATTACTTTATATTTACAGTGTTCTGTCTCCTGTGGAAGGGGCCAAAAGCACCGGGATGTGTACTGTTTGTCAAAGGAAGGGAGGCATATAGAAGAAGATTATTGCAAGCATCTTGCTAAGCCCAATGTGCAAAAGAAATGCAGAGGGGGCAGATGTCCGAAGTGGAAAGCAGGAGATTGGGGACAGGTGAGATGTGTCGTATACCCTTTTGTACCCTTTGGTATTCTTCCTCTATCAAATTGGTTAGGAGCTGGTTTTCCCATCAATTCTGTCCTCTTGAATTTTTCAAGGGTAAAAGTTTTGGGGCAGATCCTTAGTTGGTGTAAATCAGTGTAGCTTCATGGATAGCAGTGGAGCAGCACTGATTTGTACCAGCTGAAAACATGGCAACGTGCTTTTAATGTCTATCTGAAAGCAAATTGCTTGTTGTATATTTTAAGTTTCTGCTAGAAAAGGCATTAGCATATAATATTAAAGAGAATCTACTCTTTATTCATGTTTTTAATGTTGTTACTATTTAACTATGTCACATCCCAAGCAAAATCTTCCTCAGTTTTGAGAAATCTGAAATTAATTTTATTATCAGCTTCCTGTGAAAGCCTAAAGAACAATCAGAGCTGTTCATTAAAAATGCTTTTTGCTGCCTTTTGTTTCTTAACAAGCTCATCACTTGATTTTGCTTCATTAAAAAGTCAGACACTGATGCATAGAGCAGAGGCTGCTGGAAATGTGAAAGTGCTTGGAGTTATTAAGCATCTTGTTTGCCGAAAGCATGCCTTGAATCCTTGTTTTCCTGAAAATAATGTCTTTGTCATCACCTCGAATCTGCTGCATCACACTTTTATCTCTGAACCTTGCTTTTCTCTCTACCTCATTAGTGTGCTAATCAGCAAAATTATTGAAAGTCCCAGACTAAGTGAACTGTTAACTTGTAAAACATCACAGTCTCTGGCGGTCTGTGTTCCAAATTAAGGTACAAAACACCAATTCTGGCTGTATGGGAGTTCCCAGAAAGATAAACCATTAACATCACTACAGGCACCCATGCAAACGTTAGGACTAGGACAGCCTACTCTTGTTTAATGTTGGCTATTAAAAAAAGACAGTAAACCCACTGATGTTCTATGATTGCTTTCAGATTTGTATTTCTTTTTAATCCATAGGATAGGGGTATTTGCCATTCTGTGTGTAGAGGTGTAAGTGTGCATTCACCGCGGGGGTTCAGTTCCTGGGATCTGGGTTCTTTACCCAAGGTATGGGAGCACCCAGGTAGCCCCGTGAAATGCACAGTACTGCTCCCACACTGGAAATTAAGTCAATATTATTATTTTTATTACCTGCAGGAGTGAAACCTCCATTTTGTACAGTGAGCTAGACTGGAAAGAAGTACCAGGCTGTTATATAATCTTGTCATATCTGATTTGCACCTTATTTAAAGTGATTGCTCCTGAAAACAATTTGTTACAGCTAACAATTGTAAACATAATAATGTAATGGTCTGTCGATTGTGTTAAAATATGCTCATGTTAATTGACAAAGTAAGTGTTTTAAAATTCCCAACATTCCACTGCATGATCGCAGTTAATTTTATGGAAGCAGAGAAAGAAACCCAAGTTAATAAGAGGATGAGGTGATTTATGGCCTGAAGTAATCTCTGGTGACTAGGCAATTAAGGAATATTTGTATGCTAATGATAAGAGTAAGAATAGGAAACACATTTCCAGCATGCAGGTGGCTCTGCTGCCCAGGTCCCTGATGCTGTATGTGCTCAGCCAGCCAGGATCTTGCTTTGGAAAAAAATAAAGAGGTAAAAACACCCATTCTGCAATATCAGGCTGGGCTTGTTAAAGCCTCATGAAACGCTCTGGCACGGCATCCATGCGTCCTGACTCTCGCTCAGGCGTGGCTTTGCAAAAGATTTAATTCGCCAGAGCCAAGGTGGATTTAGGTGCTGAACTTCTCATTAGGACTATGAAACAGGCAGGGGTTTGGCACTCTGAACACCTAGTAGATCAGGATCTAAATGGGCACGGAAATTCCGTGTCACCTTCCCCATCACCAGTGACACTGTTGAAAATAGGAGTCGTGGTCAGTTTGCCCTTAGATACTATCAAAAAAGCTTTCTGAAGGTCTAATTGCTTCTGAAAGATAATCCCAAAGCTGAGCTGCCGGAGCTGGCTGCCTTTTGTCCTGGGTAAATTAGCAAAAAAAAGAGAAGGCAAGGTTTTCTCATAAAAGCACATCCTCCTTGTCGCTGTATATGCACAGGACCTGTTGCATGTGCCGTTAGGGTTTTTTTTCTTTTCCTTTTGGGAAAAGGAAATATTAAAATGTCAAGATTAAAAATTTCAGGAATGGTTAAAAATTAATCCCAGCCAGCTGAGCCAAATGCTCCACTCCCAGGCTTTTTTCTCTCTGGATGTTTTATATTCAAAGGCTGGGTAATTCTTTTCTAGATTGTTATGAAGCCGCTTCCCTGCAGCAAAGCATTTTTAATATATCTGTAGTAATCAGAAGGGAAGAAAAAAGGCTTTTTCTCCAAGTTTTAAATGTGCTTGCGTCTGAACTGAAATGTCAGATTTAATGTGTTTGCATCTCCTAGGTGGTATCAATTATGGCCATTTACCTTTCACTTAGCAAAAATACCAATATTTATTCTGCTGTCTGGTATTTACATATTTCAGCTACAGGCTGAAATCCAGCCCTGTCTAAAAACACAGCTAGAGCATCAGTTAGAGCTCATCCATAGCCGAGCTGGCACTTGGCAGTTTGGTGATCGACTTTCTCAGCGGAGAAAGGACTGCTCCTGGGAAAACATATAGATGCTATAGAAAGGACAGACAGGCTTCCTGGCTCGTGGCATTCCATAGGGGAATATATAAGTGCAGCAAAAGTTGGCTGCCCCCAAACTGAATATCTTCTGGCAGTGTCAGCCAGCTGTATTTACCCAAGGCAGACACAGGCTGGCTGACCAGTATTCTGGATTAAAATAGCCAAATAGGACGAAAATGGTGTCAACCACCCACCTTTTCTTGCCTCTGTAATAGAGCGTAATGGTGTTATTTTGAAGCCAGCCATAAATCAAGCCAGAGCAACAGCAACACCGATGCTGCAGCACAGGCAGTGGGAGGAAGCAACCCACAGAAGGAGATGCCTCGATCCCCTGCGAAAACTCCCGTGGCCCCAACTCACCAACTTTCACCCGTGCTGGGTGCAGCCGTTGCCCCCTCCTCGGCCGGGCTCCGTGTTCCAGCAGAAGCAGTACCTTGGTGTGGCCAAGCCAGCCCCACTGCAGCCCTCCTGTGGGGCTGGGCTCACCTGTAGCTTCATCTTCTTGGCCGGGGTCACGCTGGGATGCCCTTCTCCCATGCTATGGCTGCCCTGGGCGTCTGCCCCACCAAGTACCCTTAGAAAGCCCATTCCACTGGGAAAAGCCTCTCCTATGTGTACTCTTGGCATTGGCCCAAGGAAAAGCTCTTTGCTTGCAGGAAGAGGGTTCACATCTCTTTCAAGGGATGGTCCAGGACATGGCAGTGCTGGGCTGGGGTCCTGGGGGGCCTCGCTCCTCTGCTGTGAGTCCTCCCACCGATTCAGTCAGGGTGCAACATTTGTCCTCGTGGGCTTCAGCAAGGGCAAGGTTTCACCCCAGGCACACAACAAAGTGAGTCTACAACTTTGCACAGGGCCACGTTTGCTCAGAATGGCCAGGGACCAGCCTCCTCCTCCCCAAACCCGCTCCGTGCGGGTGGCACAGCACAGCCCCCCCATGAAAGAGCCATGGCGTGACTTGCTCTCTCTTATCAAACAGTCTTGGGGATGTGCTTTTTAGGTGGGTAATAAATGCAAACTGAAAGGCGTTTTAGAGCATGTTTTGCATCCTTGTGTATATGTTTCTCCAAGTTTGTTGCCATTATTCAGTTTAACTGTCCCCTATGGAATGCGTAGGACAAACAGCGCTGGGAATCCCAGGGAGGCAGCGCAGCAGATGGGATGCATTTGCATCACCAGTGACAGAAATCTCACTGCTGCTTTTAAAAGTTACACAAAAAAAACCCTCTCACCCTCTTACAAATATCTGAAGCCAGGCAAATATTCACAGTCAGCTTTTCTTTGGTCCTCTTGGCTTTATGGGACGTTCAGATAGTAAAGCAAATGGAGCACTACAGAGGAATACTCTGGAGAAGAGAGAATTGCATCCCCATTAGATACCGCTTAATTCCCTGCCTTAAGAAGGCTTGCCTTTATGGGTATTGCAATAATGGGCTGTAAACTGGTTTGCTTAGTGCCTGATGTATTAGTAAGGTTGCTTATATTAACTGTTAATTCAGCAAATGGTTAATCATAATAGCTGTGTTTTAAATGCATACCTTTGATTTTTACATGCTTTCTTCTCTAAGTGCAATTTCTTTTTGTTCCAAACCATATCATATAGTTTAAGATCCAGCAAGGAAGGATCCATACCAGAGGGACATTAAGTACTGCTAAACATATTCCAGCGTGCAGTCACAACAATAAGAAATGTTGCATGAAAGAACAAACAAGCTGTTAAAAGCATTGTAGTGCAGATAATAATTTGAAGATGTCTGAGAAACAGAGAAATTCAGGCTTTTCTTGCTGTGCCTAGGAGTGGGGAGAAATGTGCCCACAGTGTAATGAAGGAAATCTGAAATGCAGTTAATTTTAAAAAAGACATTAATTTTCACAAACTAACAGTATGCTCTGGCTTGTGTGCATGTTTCGATGTCTGCTGCAAGAAATCCCAGCTGTATCATACCTTTACCTCTCTGTTGCTCCAGACTTTCTCCTATATAACTCAAGTTTGCTTTTCATTAAAGTCCACTCCCGTGACACTTGTGGCATTTGATATATTTTGAACTATTACTTTTCTGAGCCAAGTGCCTGAGAAGTACTACTCAGAGCCTTGCTGCCTCTGGCATGTTGTGATAGTTTAGCAGCGCTGCTATCTCCAGAGGTTTTTGCAATATAAATCCTGTCTGGGAAATCCTGACCCCACTGAAGCCAACGGCAAAAATTCCCGCTGGCTTCAGCGGAGCCAGGATTTCAGCCTCTCCTTGCAAATTTTTTCCCCTCATGCAGTGAAGAGCCTCAACTGGAAGTTTAAACGCCAGCGTTAGAGCATTGCTATCGCTGCCGTTGAGCGCAGAGCAGAGAGCGAACCCC